TTTTCAGTCCTTGGAAATGCAGATACCCACAAGTAACATACAAGTCCCTTTTGTATCCTGATGCTTGGTAAAGTTCTTGGTCAAGTTTGCTTCAGGTGTTAAATATTATTATTAGAGGCATAAATGTGGCTTAGATGAATGACTTCTGGCTGATGCTGGGATTTTGTGTGGTCTCCAGAAGCTGCAGGCCCATCTTGCACTGAATTTCTGTAGCACCATTTCCATCAGGTTCCTGGAGTTGGTTGGGTTGGGTTATTTTTTTTTTTTGAGAGATAATGTCTTATTTGCCTGCTGATCCATCCTGCTTTTAGGAGCATTGAGCTGGGGAAGAGCTGAGCTGAGGGGTGATGAAATGAGAGGAGCTGGGAGCTGGAGGCATCTGCTCTCTGGGCTGACACCCATTAGTCCTCACAGGAGCGAAGTGAGGACAGCAATACCAAGGACAGAACTTCTGCTGAAAGCAAAACAAAATGCCTTCTTCAGGGAAGATAAAATTAGGAAGGTCTGGGCTTGATATCAAGCTTGGTGGAGAAAGCAAACTGGTTAACCTTTGCCTTGTGGCTGTGTGGTAGATGATGCATGGGGAAGGTCTCTACCTGACCTTCTCTGCAGCTGCTAAGCAAGGACTGGCTGTCCCTTTCCTGCTCTTCCCAGCAAGTGCAATGGCATTAAAAAAAAAAAATCCTTGTTTGTTATTGCACATATCCTGAAGGATCAGCAGGGCTTAAGGTGTCTTTCCCTCTTGAAATTTAATTTAAAGAGCAGTCAGGGGAAGGTGAGGATGAACAAGCCAGTCGTGCTGGGAGTGGGGCTTGCCCTCAGGCAGGGGTGTTCACTCTGCTCTGATGGTCACCTCTGGGTGTGAATGATGTTCTGGTTTCCTTTTAAGTTCCTTGAGGATATTTCTGCTCCTGTATCCCAGAGCTGAGTCCAAGCTTGTGGCTGAGGGTGACAGCCACACAGAGCCTGTGCCCAGCCCAAAGCCAAGGAGCTTATTTCAATGAAGGCCACTTGATTGGCTTTAATGTTGATGCTTAAGAAAGGGAAAGTGGCTATTGGCCACAGTTGAGTGGGAGTAGAGTTATAAACTTAATACCAGCTGCCTCTGTTTCAGGTTTTAGCAGGTAATTAAATAATTAGGAATCAGATTAACATAGGAAGGTTGGTCTTGTGGTTAATACCTTGGTCAGATGTGGAGGAATTAAGGAATTGATTCTTCCTTTTGCCACTGTTGGTTTGAAGTGAGTCATTCATCTCTGCTCTGCTAAAATGGGAAGTAATTCTCCTGTTTGGTCTTGTTCAAGGGTTTTACAAGCTGCTGGGTGCAGGCTTTTGGGGCAGCCCCTGGTCTGGTTTTGGTTATTTGGGGTTTGCCTCTTTGTCTACTGGGTATGTTGACACCTTCCTCTGGTGCAGCAGGGACTGAGCTGCTGGTCTCTTTGGGGAGCCCTGTGCATCTCGAGTGAATGAATGATCCTGTGTGTGATGCTGCATAGTAATCTTATTCATAAAATGTCAAGTTTAAAAAGAAAAAAAAAGAGCTTTCATAAAGCAACAGCTAATTCAGTTCTCAGATGAAGGCCAAGCCCAGTAAAGCTTGCAAGAAATAGCCCATAAGGCCTGATTTTGGTCAGCCATGTCTCTGCCTTTCTGTGTGTGATGCCATCGTAGCTTCTAACAGGAGGCTCCTGAGTGTAGATGTGGCTGAAAAATCAAGGAGAAATAAATAAACCAATTAGCTGGGCAGGAATCAGAGCTGCATCTTCCTGAAAAGAGCTGGAGACTTTCACGCTGTGCAGGTCCCACTCAGACTGATGCTCTTGGTGATGAAGTGCAACATGAGTGGTCTGTAGGGTTTCAGCTGGCTCCTCACCTCCTCTTTCATTTCCAGAAGCAATCTGCACATCTGTGAACAGAGGTTATTTCCTCTCCTGCTGGTTACCTGTGTGGTTCACAGTTTTTGTGCAATAGCCAGACTGTTACTCTGCTTCAATATCTCACTTTGACCTAATCCATCATAGTTATGGAGGTACAGAGCATCTTCCTTCAAAACAAAGATGAATTGCATGTTGTGTTAGGAGGCTCACAGCAGCAGAGGGAGGCAGGCAGATGCTTGAATCATCCTTTACAAATGAGAAGTCTGCACAGGGCACTGATGATGGGTAGAGGTTGCTCAGAGGGCTCTGAGCAGGGGCTGGAGCACTGAACCTGCTCTCAGCTCATGGCTGGTTGCTTCTGGAGGAGATCCAGCTCCCCTGAATGCTCATCACCTTGCTCTAACTGCTGCAGGAGCTTTTGGCAAGCAGTTGCCATATGGCTTGCAAGTGGAGTCATTCTGTTAATGTATAGAGCTGGTGAAATCATGTCATGCATCCACCCTGTCAAAGCACTGCCCAGTTTTAGCTGCAGGCTCGTGACAATGAGCAGTAGTTACCTTGCCCAGCTCCATATGCTCTTTCCTACGAGAGGACCAGGGCTGGCTCTGGAGCTGGGGCTCCCTTGCCAAAGGAGATGATGTTCACACAGTTTTTGCCCTGAGAGCAGCCAAGCTTTCAGACAACAGGTTCTTCTGCAGACCTCTGCTCCTGCAAACACCTTGGCCCCACTCTGGCTGCTCCCCGTGGGGTGGTTTGTGTGCAGTGCTGTGAGCGAGGCTCAAATCCCCAGCATAGGGACCAGGCTGATGTCAGGAGTCTGGAATTCACCTCCCCTCCCCCTTTGCCTTTGCCTTTTCCCCCCCTCTCCTCCCTAAATAAATGTTGGAGGCAGCTTTGGAGTTGGCTGATTCGAATCTCTTGGAGCACAGGGAGGGAACTGGAAGCGGAGCTGGAGTTTTATTGTAATTCTAGTGGCTGAAATGCAGCTTGCTGTATGTGTGCAGATATTTCTGTGTGAAATAAAACACGGTTAAAGGCAGTGGGAAGATCCAAGTGGCAGAGCCAGCTCAGACAAATGTGTGTCATCCATATACTGTCTACCAAGAATGAGAGATGAGGAAACATTACAGCTGCAGGCTGCTCAGGCCAGACTCTCAGCTGGTTTATTATCTGCAGCCTTGCCTTAGACTTGCCATATGTTTGTAATCTTTCATTGAGGGCCCAGCTTCTCAGGGTTGTGGAAACTTTTTAAAACTGCCTAACAATGTACAGAAATTTTCCATGCAAATATTAGGCTGATCTTCTTGGTAACCAAAACTTTTTGTGCTGTAAATGATCCCTTCATGCTGTTTCTTTCCCTTGCTGGGTGCTTGTGCTCAGTGCTGATGTGGATGCTGTAGCCTTTCCCCAGGGATGCAGCCAGCTGCATGTGGCACATCCCTTGAGAATATTCTCCCTCTTTCCTCTCTGATCCCAACATGAGGCTATTTAGTTTTTCTTTTCCCTTGTAAAGGTTTTTTTGCCCTTTCTTTTCCTGCTCTTTGGGGAGATGTGTCCTTTTGTTCTGCAGGAGCAGCAGTGCCATGCATCTTCCTGAATGCAGTCAGGCTGCTTGTGATCATTCTAAGAGCTGGTAATAAGCTTTGTGCCCTTGGCCATGCAGCATGGCAAGATACCCTAAGATCCTGAGGGAGGCTGGGACAGAAAGCCTTGGGGAGTTAGCCTTGGGTATCATTGCAAACATCAGGCTATCTAATATGTGTCTGTCCTTGAGAATCTGAATAAAATCCCTCTTTGGGGAAAATAATGGATCAAGAATCCAGCTGTGATATATTGTCCAGGCAAGGCTGAATAAAACTGTCAGGCAGAGATTTGCTTTGAGCACTGCTAGGGCTTTGCTGAGTTTGGGTCATATTTCTGACAGCATTTTGCTTCAAGAATCGAGTCAAAATTAAAAATAATTTCTTGTAAGCATTTAAAGTCAGATCTGGTTATTCCATTTCTGGAGGCACCATCTCTCCTGACACGAGGAAGACTGGATTAGGAAGTTAATGAGATGTATCACTTGCATTACTTAATCGATGTTCTAGAGACCTGAACATCTGGAGGTGAACCAGCCCTGACTTTGCTGGCGTGGGGAGCACTGGATGTCAGATAAGCTCTTTTCATTAACTAGTCTAATGTCTGCAACAGTGAGAGTCTCTGGATTTGAGCCTAATGAGATGTGGCTGAGGAGGGCTGCTGAGGAAAGGAGCCTTTTGCTTCGTGCCATTAGTCCAAATGCCCATGGAGATTTTTCCTCTTGTGGAGCACTTCTGCTGGCTGTCCAGCCAACAACCAGTGCTTATATGCACTGGTGCTTGTGCAGAGATCCCAGTGTCATGGAGGGGACTGGCAGAAAGGGGGGAATTATGTGATGGGACTTGCCTGGGCTTGGGCTGAGTTAGAGGTGGTGCTTGGCTGCCTGTGGTGGGGTTGTGCTGCATCCCTGCCCTGTGTCCCCTTGCTCAGATGCTGTGCACGAGCCCTACGAGGGGCTGGGCAGGTCTGCAGGCAGCACCACCAGCCCTGTGCTGGGATGCTGCTCTGCCACAGCTTGTCTGGGTACCCCAAGGCACGGCTGTGAGTTTGTTATCCCATCTAGTGTGAATTCCCAGGCAGTTGTTTGGCTGGTGTGTGTCAAATCCTTCAGGTATTTGCCTCAAAATAATGATTTGGATCAGCTAACTTAAGGAAAAAAAGGATGGAGAAGTTTGTATCAGCGTGACGGTGACTTTTTGATTTAAAGCCTTTCTCTCAGATCATGAATTTCCTGTCTAATGCTTAATCTTCAGGGTGTACTTGAATGATGGAGGTTGGGTGAAGACATCCAGGAAACATAACGACTGTAGCTAATAAGACAGTCTATTCTCCCTTCTGCCCTAGTGCAGACAGCTGACTGACTGTTCCTCTCTGCATTGAGTTGGTGTCTTTGACCAGCTTGGGTGCTGGCATTAACATTGTATTTACAAATGTATTGAAAAAAGGTATTTCATCTGTTTTTAAAGTTGTGATGGTTGATGTCTGTGATGCAGGCTAGTACCCAAGCCTTCTAATGCTTCTTTTCTCCTTTTCTTTTCCCAGCTGAACCTGCAGACCTCTTGAAGGTATTAGATTTTCATAATTTACCTGATGGTATAACAAAAACAACAGGGTTTTGCACAAGCAGAAGATCTTCAAAAGAAGCAGACGTTGCTTACAGAGTAACGAAAGATGCTCAGCTCAGTGCACCCACAAAGCAGCTGTATCCTGGTGAGTCCACAGCTTTTTGTTGCATGGAAACATCTGATCCTTTCCCCAGGTCCTGCAGGCATGTAGTAGGGCACTGTGCAATCCCTTCCTTTTCCAAGTGTGCTCCTGTGCCCTCTTGGCAGGGAGCAATTCTGCTGCTTCAAGGGGCTGCAATCATTCCACCATCAAATAGCACTGCAGTAAGTTCTTCTTTTATCATGGGGTTTGCACGTGGTGATGGGTTTCACTGCAGAAGATGTGGCCAACACCTACATCTGTTCCTTCCTATATTAGAAAGTTTCTGCTGTCTCATTATCACACAGTGACATCCAGCAGGGAGAGAGGCTTGGAGGATGCAGAGGAACACAGACTGTGTCTTGCTCTGCCTCTGTGCAGTGCCAAGCACAGTAGGGTCTTACTCTGTGGCTGTGGTGTGTCTCATAACACAAATAATCAACATATAAAAATAATAGACTTGCCCCACAAGAACAGATGGCCCAAGAAAAGTTGTTTGAAGGAATCTGACATTCATTAGAGGAAGCTTCTAAAATGCAGGAGTTCACAAAGCCCTTGAAGAGCGTGTGGCTTGCTGACCATTTTATTGGTCAGCATAATTTTTCAGGCCAAGGGACAATCACTGCTGTAAAATGTGCTTGTAAAAAGACTGGACATGTTATGGACCCAAGCCACTCACTGGCTCAGTATTGGACACGTAATCACCATCAGAAGTCTTCCTTCAAAGCTGGACAGGAGAACTGCTCTGTCCCCATGCTACAGGGAGGAGTGCAGGGATGCTGGGAGTACCTGTGGTAGGACTTCCTTGGTTTGGTGAGTCAAGTGCCTCTCTGAGGAAGGTTTAGCAGTGAGGTGGGAAGGTGCTGCTTGTAACTTGGCTGGGAAGCAGTAGATGGCTTAAGCAAAGCAGACACAGGCTCTCCTTTGGTGTTGGAGAGAATTGATGGTACAAAATGCATTAGCTCGGAGGTGATGTTGTGTGCCACCACCAGTGCTTTTCCATTAACCTGCTCCATCTCCCAGACCCAGCCTGCCAGTGGCCTGAGCGAGGACTCCAAGGCTGGACTGCTGATGTGTCCCATCCTCCAGTCCTCTCTTTCCTTCATTGTATGTGTTACTGCTGTTATTTTCAGGCTCCATTATTAGCCTGCAGTGGCAAACAGGTGAATCACATGGTGAGCGTGAGCACCTTGTCCTGCCTCTGAACTGAGAACCTGCCATGAAGGTGGGAGCAGCTGTGCCTGGGCTGTGAGCTGGTAGCCCCTCATTGCAAATCCCTTCTCCTCCTTAGCAAAAGAAGTGCAGAACTTCCATTATTTGTCTTCCTGGCTGCTCAGGGCAGGACAGTCCATTCTGACTGCAGCTAACATCCTCATGTGCCCAACTGCACCTCTGTACCAGGTTGTGTCTTCATCTCCTTGCTTGAAGGAAGTGGTTCCAGTTTGGAATGTACAACTGCAGTGGATTTGAGAACTTCCCAGTCGTTGCAGCCACTATGAAATCTTGCCTGATCACCTTTGTGTTGTGGAAACCAGCAAATAGTGGTGACCCCAAGATATGAAAACAAGGATGAAGTATTCTGGCTAATTAACGTAGCAAGGAGACTGGATAACACCCCTTATGATGAGGGTTAGGATGAGAAGACAGCAAGCAGAATGAGGCCATGGTCACAGGAGAGACCTCAGCACTGTAGGAGATTTTTTGCCTTTGGTTCCACCTTACTACTTGTATGTGCTCACTGCATTCTTGATTTGCATCTACTGTCTTCCTTGGGTGAGAAGACCTGGATGGTGTTTCCTTGGTGTTGTCATCAAGCCCTTTTTCAATCATTTCATCATCTGGACAACCATGAGGGGATTGATGCAGCTCTAACCCTATCTGGAGACTTCCAAAGTTGTTGAAGATTCTCTGCTGCATACTGAGGACATAAGAAGGGAAGAGCAAAGTGAAGAACCCCCAGTGTTTTCCATCAGCTCAACAGATGTTTACTCAGTACATCTCCATAACTAGACGTGACTTCAGCTCACACCACCAAAGGAATGAGAGAGGAGATAAAGATAACAGAGTAATTGCAGTGCAATGTGCCCAGGGAAATGTGGTTGGAAGGATTTCACGTGCAGGGGTGGGTGGGTTGCAGCATAACTTTCCCTCTCTGCTATAGAGCACCCCAGGCAAATGTACACTGCACATAATATTTTGTGCTAATTACAAGTCGGTGCTTTTCTAAGATGGTAATTTTATGGGCTTTGCATTCTGCTTCCACAGCCAGCAAAGCAAGAGATGAGAGATATATATAAAAATATACATCACAAAAGCCTGTCTGTTATTTTTTTTTTCCAAGCCCACAAGAGGGAGAGAATCTGCTGAGATGCTCTTTGTCCTTGCTCCCTAAATAAGTTCTGTTATCCAGCAAAATCTCTTCAAGCAGAGGCAAGAAAGGCAAAGTTTTTAGTGGCAGTTAGTAAAGTGTCATTTGCATTTTTCTAGCAAACTCAATATTCTTCACACTGCTTGTGGGTGTCTGCATATATATATATATATACATACACACACATAAGAGCTCAAAAAGCGCTGTTATAGGTTTAACAGTCATCTCTCAGGAAAGAAACCATTGCAAAATTGAGTCTTCTCAGATGAAGGAGAAATCCAGAAGTTGGTGACAGTATTGAAGAGCTGTTTTCCTTTGAAAAGTGGCTCTGGGAATGACACCATCTCTTAGAGCAGCTTTGCTTTGTGTTTATGTCAGGAAACAGACTGGCTCAGATTTTGTTGATTTTGGTGTTTTTTTTTCCTTGCTATTAAGCAGCTGAAGCTTTCCTGTCCTTCCCAGATCAGCAGCAGGGCCCTTTATTTTAGCATGTTGGGATATGGGAGGATCTGGCTTAGGAAGAAGGTCTCAATTCTCTGTTTTGAAGACCATGAGGTTGTACAAAAGCCTTTAATCCTTGGTCGTGGTGCTCAGGAGAGAAGAAACTCAGGCTGAGCCTGCTTTGCCTCCTGGGGCATGCCACAGATGCAGCCTGCACAAGTGAAGCCAAAGGCATCAACGTGCTGTGTGAGGAGCTGTGTGGGGTGGAGGGCTCTGTGCCCACCCTGGACCTTCTCAGCTCTTTCCATGGGATCTTAACCCTTCAATCCCTTGTCAGAGGCTGAACGTGGTGAATTGGAGAGGGTTTGGCCATGGGGCAGAAGAGTGATGCTGAGCTGAGGTCAGCATTGGTGCAGGGCCTTGAAGTGAAGAGATGGATGCACAACACCTCTCAGCATGAGCTCATTGGAAGAAGTGAATCAAATAGAAGGGCTTGATCCCAAACCCTTTGTTGGAGGAGTGTCTCCATTGTCTTTAAGGGGATGTGGGTCAATTTCTATGTGCTTCATATATTTATTGTGATGTATTTATTAGTATTGATGGCTGCATGGATGTGTTTTCATACATCATTCAATAGCCAGGGTCGTTTCTAGCTGTGACAGTGAAGGCATTGTTGTTTTGCCAGGACAGCAGAGCAGTCACAGAGTAATGTCAGCTATAATTCATCCATTATGATTATTTGGGTTGAGAAACTTGCATCACTATGGAGACATTTTAATAATAATGAAAAAAAAAAAATTAAAAGCAGCTTTTTAATGAGTTGGCAGCTTGTCCAAGTTGAAAGGTACTGTATTGTGGATTCATAATGGAATTTTGGACATGAACTATTTTACATAAAAGGCCCAAAACTGTAGCCTGTAATTGGAACCAGGAAGACGTATGGTCTTGATTCAGCTCTAAAGGATGATTTGTATACAGCAGGAGGGAGATAAAGCTCAGGGCTTCCTCTGGGAGGCACAATAATCAGATGCCTGCATTTGCCAAAATATCTGGGTCTGTGTCCTTGGGGGAAATGGGGCTATAATCCTAGCATTTAATTACTGACTGCGAGTCCTCTCTTCAGAGTGCTGCTTTATGCTTCTTTCTAAATGTTATTTAATTAAGGTGAGGGCTATTAAATGGTGCAAACAGTGTGTGTCTCTGTAGGTATCCTCAGATCTCCCCCCCACAGTGTCCTCTGTTTGCACAAACTGTTTGGAGCAGAGCTAGGGGGTGATGCAGCCCAGCCTGCTCATGCCTCCTGCCTCCTTCACTGCCCAGCAGTGTTTAGATGCATTTAAAACACTGGTTGGTTAAGAAAAGTTCAAGCAGCTCCCAGACAGAAGAGGAGAGGGGTGAGCTCATGGCCTCTTCATTTTTGAACTCGTGAGCTTTGCTGTGGTTGGAAGAATTCCCCACTCCCATGTCCCTGGTCTCCTCCCTGGGTCCAAAGCCTTTATGCAGCCCTGGGATACCATCTAAGAACAGCCTAAAGGGGTAAAGGAAAACTATTTGAAGCTTATAGGCACTGAGCTGGGGCTTTTTTGTGGTTGATGTGGCTTCACATCTGCAGTTGAAGCCCAAGTCATTGTGTGGTTCCATTCCCTGTGTGCCCCTGGCTGGCACACACACAGAGGGTCCCAGCACACATGGCAGTGCCCATGGCCTGGCTGCCCCACTTCCCTCTGCCCCCCATGCTGGAAGATTTCTCAAGCAAATGCCCAGAGGTACAATGCAACTCTTGTTTTTGAAAGCCTGGACCTTTAAAGGAAAGATGCCCCTCAAGTTTCACACTGCTGAAGTGCAGCCTGTGAGGAGGTTATGCCCTGTAGGTACTCTCTGTTTCAATAAATCCCAGCTCAAATAATTAAGAAAGCTCCTTTAATGATGCTTCTGATGTCTTTAAGATGTCCTGTTAGGGATGTGTTCAGGCTTTTCAGTGTGGGCTCATCTTTCCAGTCTGAATGGCAGAGAAAACCCAAATGTGGGAGTTGTCCTGCACAGGGTGTGACTTGATGCCCATATTGATGGAAATATTGACCCTTCCCCTCTGCAGAGCATTGCCTCTGTCCTGCCTCTACCTAATCCACACTTTGATCCTTCAAACCTTGCAAAAATACAGCCAGGAATCAACTGAGATGAGGGAGTTGCTCTCCTGAGTGGAGAGAAAGCCAGGAAATTCTTTAGATAGTTTTTAATATGCAGATAAATTAGCATCTCCTCCTGATTGCCAGGTTTATTTCTGTTTTCAGATTTTTTTTTTGTCTGCACCAGCCCTGAAAGCCAAAGCCACAGAATGCTCTATTCTAGTCTGGAATAGCCAAAACCTTATGCAACTTCCCTACTCCCTTAAATAAAACCCTTCAATACTGTGTGTGCCAAACGGGCACAGGATGCTTGATTTCCTCTGTCCCTCTGACATCTTAGGTTAATTTGGGAACCCCAGGGAAGGGCTAGGTGCAAATAATATAGATTTAAAGCTTTTCAAGCCTTTTTTTCCCCAGCACTACGGCCTCATCCCAGAACAGTAGACTCCTTGCTATGCTTTGCTGTCAAGTTGAAGTGTGGGGTGGCTTTCAGCTCTGGGACAGATTGCAGTAAGGGCTGGAAAAAGGCTTTCTGATCATACAGGAATGATCCTCAGAGATGCTCAGTCTGTGCCTGGGTTTTTAATGTGCCATTAGGGCAGGTGGGTGTTGAGGGGACATTTCTCTCCACTGGTTTGGCTGGTACAACCTACTTTGGGTTGCAGTCCATCCAAACCTCATATCACAACAGGCTTTGGGGGAAGCCAGATCTCCACCTGGCAACTAAGATGCTGCCCTATATAAATTTTTAGGGTTGCTGATGTGCACACATCTGGAGGGATGAACCAGAGGTCTCCCCATGGGTTGTTAGACAACAGGACTGTTTCTGTAGGGATTAATTTTCAAGGAAACCTGACTAACCTCTTTGCTTTTCCACTCCAGCTTCCCCATTCCCAGAGGACTTCTCCATTCTAACCACTGTAAAAGCGAAGAAAGGAGGTCAGTCCTTCTTGATCTCAATTTACAATGAGCAAGGGATCCAGCAAATTGGTGTGGAGATGGGTAGATCTCCTGTATTCCTGTATGAAGACCATACAGGAAAGCCAGGCCCAGAAGACTATCCTCTCTTTAGAGGCATTAACCTAGCAGATGGCAAGTAAGTGAAATTTTGTGCACAAAGGCAAACGTTGTTTATAGCAATAGCAGCATGTTGAACGTTGTGTAAATAGGAGCCATGTCTATATAAATGTATATAAACACCTTTGACTACAGCCAAATGCCCCATTCTTGGACTTTGCCCTTGGGTGAATAATATAGAATATAGAAAAAGTGTGAATCACACACCACTCACTGCAAATTGTCCAATGCTTGAGAGGAACACAGTTGACATGTGCTGCAAAGGGCCTTAAGAAATCAGTTTGTCTCACACAAGCCACGCTGAGTCTCTTGCAGGAGGGTGGAAAAGGGGGATAGCCAGGGAGTTACAAGTGTGGGGTTTTTCCCTGCCTCTGGTTGAAGCCAGAACTGGCACAATCCTGTTTGTTTTGGAGAGATGAGAAGCGAGGGGCATCATCTGTCAGCACAGCTTTTCTCTTTCCAATGAAATCTTTAGGTGCCCGAGGATGATTTTCATGTGTCTGTAGATAATGGCTGGCAGGAAGGTTTGCAGAACATCAGTTTAGGAAAGCTTCATTGTTCTATAGTCATTAGCTTGTTCTTGTAAGCCCAAGGCTCTGTTTAACACATTTGTGGGCTGTGTTCTTCTAGGTGGCACAGAGTAGCTCTCAGTGTGCAAAAGAAAAACGTCACCTTGATTTTGGACTGTAAAAAGAAGATAACCAAGTTCTTGGACAGAAGTGACCATCCCATCATCGATGTCAATGGCATTATTGTGTTTGGAACAAGGATATTGGATGAGGAAGTCTTTGAGGTAAGTCGTGGAAATAAACAGCCCTGGAGATGTTCCATGGAGATGATGAGCTGAGTTCTGGTTGACATGGTATTTGCAGCTCAGTTTTGAAACTTGGGTTGGATTTTTGCATCCTAGAACACAACAAAGTATGGTTTTTAAAGTTGTTTTTTTTATCTAGATAAATACTTTCTGTGGTACTGATGAAAACAGTGGGCCAGATGACATGTGGAATGAGGTCCTCTGATTCTGTGGTTTCAAATCCTTGCTGGGGTTCTAGGTTAGCCCCTGCACTGGCATTTTGTAGGTCTGTAGCTGTTGTGCTCTTGGCTTGTTTAGCATGGGAAGGGCTCACAGGATTTTCATTCATCTCTGTGTTGTGATTTAGAAGGAAGTTGCAGGGCCAGTTCTGAAGATGAAGGCTGAGGAAAGCAGCTCCCTTGCAGGTTTACTCTGAGGCTGTAAGAATTTGTTCTTTTCCCATGTGCTGGCCACTGATTCTTGGTTTCTTCCACCATGACATAGTGGGACTCTCCTTGACAGCTTGTTTGGCAGCTCTGTCATCTCCCACACAGTGACTGCTTTTAAAAAAGCAAACCAAGATTGTGATGGGTGGAATGTTCCCATGAGCTCCTCTGATTTAAGCAGAGAGACAGAAGATTATTTATAGGCAAGGTGCATATGCTAGAAGTTCTCCCCATAGTTCAGCAGCTAGTTTAATATATGCATTTCACCAGCAATCTCAACTTCTGTGGTCTGCTGCACTGCTGAGGCTTTCATGGGTAGGAGAATCTTGTCCCTGGTCTTTCTTGCAAGCTTGAATTGCTTTCCTGAAATCAGCACCAGTGCAATGGAGTGTAAGCTCAGACCTATTGATCTGTCTCCTTTTATTGCATTTCTGTATCTCAGGGGCCTCCCCAGCCCAGCCAAGGGATGGGAATATCTCCTATTTGTGCATAATTAGAGCTGTAGAGAAGCCAGCTCTTGTCTGCATTTTGCTGTCACTTAGAAGGAAAGTTCCAGTCTGTTTAACATGACCAACATCTGGGAGCTGGGCTGCTGTAAACAGAACAGGAATGCAGGGACTGAAGGTTGCTGCCAAAATTGATGGTTGTGGAGCTAGAGCTGAATCTTTAAATTCTATTAATTAATAGATATTCCCCGGGAAGTTTAACGACTAAAATGGAAAGTAAAAGCTGGGCTTAATGGGGCACTGAGGTGTCTTTTGCAGGTGTTGGATATTCACCCCAAATTTCAGCAGTCAGCCTGGGTGCTGTATGGGTTACGTGAAGTGGTGAGCTTCCCTGGGGAGCCACTGGACCCAGGGATCTAGTAGATCTATTAAAGAACTTGGTGTTGCATCCAAACTGGGTCAGAAACCTGCATTCTTTAGACTACTTCATTTTGCAAAATAATAGTTTCCATAACTACTCCCAAAGCTCAAGGTGTTCCCAGGTGGCTTATGTGGATTTTGGGCTGCTGATCCCTGAGGATCCCCCTTGGGGGGGGATAAGATGCAGCCACAAGATCATTTCAGGCACTTAATGAGAACTGGACAATTAGCAAGTACTTTTTTCCCCCTTTGATAACTTCTGTGCTGATAGACAGCATGTATATAAAAACTGTCTAGTTCTAGAATTTGTCCTTTTTTCTTTTGCCATCCTCATCAGACAGAGGGGTTTCAGTGTGTCCATCCTCCCCCCACCCACTGAGACACCAGCAGCTTTAAACTGAGTGTAATGAATAGGTTTCATGAAGGCAATGGGCTATAACCCAATTTCCTTCATATCTCAGCAACTTCATTTCCTTTGCTCCCTCCTTTCTTCTTTCTGCAAGCCTAAGCAGAAACCGTGGAAGTGAAAAATTGTGGCTCAGAACAATGGGAAATGGGTGTAAACTGGGAAAGTTTTGTATTCCTGGAAAGCTGATAAATTCTGGATAGAATACAGACTGATGAGATGAAGCTGCTGCTGTCCTGTAGGCAACTGCTCCACAAACCTCAGCTAACGAGATGTTCCCCAGTGCTTTGTGCATGCGTGGAGCTGCCTCTTATATGTTTGTTGGTTTTGCTGGGAATTAGAATAACCCAGTTAGCTGGGAGTGGGATGGAAAGCAGCACTGGGGAGGGTTGAGATGGGCTGTGCCTCGGCATGAATCAGCGAGAGCTGTACGTAGAGGGAATTCACATCCTCCTTGTCAGGTCTGCAATCAAATAAAACCCCAAAGACTTCTTGTTTTGCTTGGAAAGTTGGAATTCTTGAAGCTCCAAGACCTAGCTGGGGGTCGCATGCAGAGACCAGCTCTGCTGTATTTGTCCAGCGAGTGCCCAGATGGGCAGAAAAAAAACCCAGCCTGGCAGGAAAGGTTTAAAGGAGGTTTCAAAATATTTCTCTAGCCCAACATTCTTCCAGTGGAAAAACGACTTCCTCTCATTAAAATTCAATTAGCTGGGAGGCTGTGTGGATCCCTCTGTACGGCTGGGGGCTGCTGGGAGGGTTTGAAAAGGGGCCAAGCCTGGAGCCTCGGTTTCTACAAGTTGGGTTTTGTGCTGAGCTGTTGTTCAAAACAGAAGTTTACAAATGTCAGGACAGGCTCTCGCGCCGGGGTTGGGAAGTGGCAGCTGGCTTCAAGCTGTGCCTGGGAGGATGCTGATGTGAGACAGCAAAGGCTCTTCTGCAGGGAGAGGGGGAAAGAGAAGAGAAACAGCCCCCGGAGCAGGATAAACCCTTCCTCCCTGCTTGCAGGCTGTAGCAAGTGGTGTTCCTGTGGCTACCCTTCCAGCAGGGCTGGAAGGAAGTCAGAAGACATGTGAATTTATGTCTTTTTTAGAGGGATTAACTGTCTCTTTTGATGTCCTTTTTTTTTAGTTAAACATGCATTAAAACCCAAGTCCTAGCACAGTCTAATGGGTAGGCGTAGGAACAGGATGAAGTTTGGGGAAGCCCCTTACCCCAAAAAAACAAACCATCCCCTGCCCAAAACCCAGGGAGGCTTTTCAAAACATCCTGGTGATGGGATGGCCCCACTCCTGCCTCCTTCCTGCAGTGATGGACCACAGGAGCTGCACCAAACCATCTTCTGCCCAAAACCCAGGGAGGCTTTCCAAAACATCCTGGTGATAGGATGGCCCCACTCCTGCCTCGTCCCTGCAGTGATGGACCACAGGAGCTGCCTGTTCAGTGCCCACCAGCTACTGTGGGAGTCACCTTCTTGTGCAGGATCCCCCCAGTTCCCGTGTGGGTGGGTAAGAAGAAGCTGGAAGTGTGAGCCCCTCTGTTGGCAGCAGTGTGTTGATCCCAGGGCTGACCCACCAGCCTTTGTGCTGGTCCTTGGTTAGCCTGTGCTGGTGTAAGAGCTGAGAAGAAGTTGAGTGCTTGTCAGGCTTTGCTCACTTGAGGGGTGGCTTGGCTGTTAAACACAAACTTCTGTTGCATATTGTACCCATCAGACTTTGACTGGGGGCTATTTGGGTGCTTTGTGGGCTTTTGTTTGAGGTTGTCCTTAGAAGATGCTCATGCCAAGGAATCTCTGCTCCATGCACAACTTATTGCTGGGTTCAGGGGACAGCACCTATGTCCCTGGGGTTTGCTCAGGGCAAGCAATCTGGCTGGCATGTGGTGTCTCTCCCACCTCCAACCAAAGCCTGGCAAGGCTTTGCCATATTTAGGACGTGCAGCTCACCTAACCCACCTCCCCACGATGTCCCAGGACCACACAGATGTCACCTCCCCATGAGCTGGCTCTTCCAGCCTGCCGTTTGCCATGGTGGTCTGGTGGAAAAACAGTTCAGCCAGCTCTGGTCTGAAGAAGTTGTTCTGGTTTAGCAGATGTGGGTTGAAACAAAGTTCAGATCCTGGCTGTAGTAAGGTTGTTGGTGCAGTGTTTCAGTCCCAGAAGTGGCTGCATTACAGCAGTGAGCAGAGAAACCCCATAACCCACAGCTGGAGGACCATGCAAAGTGCTGCACAGTGACTGGGGCAGGTAAATGTTGCTGTCTCTGGGCTGGGTTAGGTGACCTTGATCCCTTTGCAGTGGTGTTGTGAAGCATCCCCTGTAATCCCAGGGGAAGGAGGTTGGTTTCTGCAGCAGTGTGTGTGGCCCAGCCCTGTTTTACTGCTCAGCATCACCCACAGACCAGCACTTCACAGCAATGGGCTGATGAGCAAAATGAAACTTGGTCAGAGCTTGCAAAAGTCCCAGATAGTGATGGATTTACTATTTCTTGATGGATTTCCCATTTTGGTTTCTGATCTGATAGGAAGAGACTATGGTGTGAGGCTGCTGACAGAAGTCCTGTGCAGCACCTGGCTGGCAGAGCTAGAACTGGTACCACTAAAACTGTGCTGTGGAGGCTGCTAACAAAATGAGTAGGTTTTGGTAAAACTGCTGTGGATAACTTAGTAACAAGTGAGCACATTTGATGTAAATTCTTCTTGGTTCATCTGTTTAAAATTTTGCAGGATTGTCCCATAAGGTAACGGGTGCTTTGACCCTCTGGAAATAAGGGGCAGTAGTGTCTGGGATTGTGGATAAAATGAGTCATGATGATGAAATGAGTTTCCCTGTAAGCTCAGTGCATGTGTAATATTGCTTTTTAAGGTTTATGTCCTTTACCATTGTCTCTTTTGGAGACAAGAGGAGATTTTATCCAGCTGAGTACCACAAACTCTGTCTCATTGATCTAGTTGGTGCTGGACAACCAAGTGGTTTCTTCTGCTCCTGCCAAACAAGGGGCAGAGCAGGAGGGACTCAGCCACCTGCAGACACTGTTCTGCCAAGGGCTGAGCAAGTATTCACTATGAGCTTATGCCAGAGCTTGTCCTGGGGTAAGAGCTGAAGTGCTGCTGGGCTTTGGATGGTGCTGAAAGGATGGGGCTTTTTCTTTTCTTTCCTCCTTTGTGTTTTGTTTTTTTTTTGAAGACCACTAGTGAAATCAAGACCTCAGAAATGGAAGGAAAGCAATTTGTGCTGGGACCAGCCAGAGAGGCCGGGCCAGGTGCCAGAGGTGCTCTTAGGGCTGC